TGGAGGAGTGTTCCCCTTTCTCCACATCCTCTCCAGCATAGACTGTCATTGGTGTTTTTGATTTTAGCCATTCTGAAAGGAATAAGATGGTATCACAGAGTTGCTTTGATTTGCATTTCCCTGATGGCTGGGGATCTTGAGCACTTTCTCAAGTGCCTCTCAGCCATTTTAGACTCCTCTACTGAGAATTCTCTATGTAGTTCTGTAGCCCACTTTTTAATTGAATCCTTTGATGTTTTGGAGACTTGCTTCTTGAGTTTTTCTAAATTTCGGAGATAAGTCCTCTGTCAGATGTGGGTTAGTGAATATCTTTTCCCATTCTGTGGCCTGTCTTTTTGTCTTGTTGACTGTGTTCTTTGCCTTGCAGAAGATTCTCAGTTTCAGGAGGTCCCATTTATTAATTGTTGATCTCAGTGTCAGTACTACTGGTATTATGTTCAGTAAGCAGTCTCCTGTTCATGGGTACCCTGACTTTCTCTTCTAAGAGGTTCAGTGTGTCTGGATTTATGCTGAGGTCTTTTATCCATTTGGATTTAAGTTTGGTGTGTGGCAATAGACATGATCTATCTTTAGTCTTCTATATGCAAGCATCCATTTACCCAGCACCAATTGTTGAAGAAGCCTTCTTTTTCCAATTTATTTTTTTTTATTATTTTAGTATTTTCTTTTTTTGTCTTTTTTTTCCAATTTAAATTTAGATAAGAAACAAGGTTGCTTCACAAGGCAGTTGCAGGTCCCTCTACCTTTCCCTCCCCTCCTCCCGTGCACTCCCCCAACCCCCCCCCCGTTATCCCCTCATTCCCCCAGGGAGGGTGAGGCCCTCCATGGGGGTGTCCATAGTCTGTCATTTTATATAGGGCAGGGCCTAGACCCTTCCCCAAGAGTTCAGGGTGAGAGTGCACCTCACATTGTTCTATGGGAGTCCAAAGTCCATGTGTATACTTGGGATGGGTAGTGATCTGCTGCCCAAGGCTCAATAGATTACCTAGGCCTCCTCACTGACACCCAGATTCAGGGGGTCTTGATCAGTCCCATGCTGGATTCCCAGGATGATGCCTGGGATTCAAGTGTTAACCTTTGTCTAGTCAGCTGTTTCTGGGGGTTAAACCAGCCCAGTCTTAATCCCTTTGATCATCAATCCTCCCTCTCTGTTACTGGCTTTATTGAGTTCAGCTCAGTACTTAACCGAGGGAGTCTGCCTCTTCTTTGATCAGCCACTAAATGAAGTTTCTGTTTCCCAGACTCTCTGGCCATAGGATTGTAGGCTGGCACTCCCCAGATCTATGTCTAAAATCCATATATGAGAGAGTACATGCCATGTTTCTCTTTTTGTGAATGGGTTACCTCACTCAGGATGGTTTCTTCTAGTGTCATCCATTTGCCTGCACATCTCAGGATTCCATTGTTTTTTTCTGCTAAATAGTACTCCATTGTGTAGATGTACCACATTTTCTCTATCCACTCTTCGGGTGAGGGACATCTAGGTTGCTTCCAAGTTCTGGCCATTACAAATAAAGCTGCTATGAACATAGTGTAACAGACATCTTTGTTGTATGAATGGGCACCTTTTGGATATATGCCTAAGAGTGGAGTTGCTGGGTCTTGTGGCAGGTTTATTCCCATTTTTCTGAGGAATCTCCATACTGCTTTCCAAAGTGGCTGAACCAGTTGGCACTCCCACCAGCAATGGAGAAGTGTCCCCCTTTCACCACATCCTCTCCAGCATAAATTGTCATTGGTGTTTTTGATTTTAGCCATTCTGACAGGAGTGATATGGTATCTCAGAGTTGTTTTGATTTGCATTTCCCATATGGCTAAGGATGTTGAGCAATTTCTCAAGTGCCTCTTAGCCATTTTTGACTCCTCTATTGAAAACTCTCTATTTAGTTCTGCAGCCCACATTTTAATTGGGTCCTTTGATGTTTTGGAGACTTGCTTCTTGAGTTCTTTGTAAATTTTGGAGATAAACCCTCTGTCAGATGTGGGATTAGTGAATATTTTTTCCCATTCGTTTCAAAAATAAAGTGTTCACACATGTGTGGGCTAATATTAGGGTCTTCAATTTGAATTATTGGTCTACCTGTCTATTTCTGTGACAATACCAAGCTGTTTTCAGGACTATAACTGTATAATAGTGCTTGAAGTCAGGGATGGTGATGCCTCCAGATGCTGCTTTGTTGAATAAGGTTGTTTTGGCAATCCTGGGTCTTTTGTTTTTCCATACAAAGTTGATTATTTTTCTTTCAAGGTCTTTGAAGAATTGTTCTGGGATTTTAATGGGGATTACAGTTTGCTTTTGGCAGGATTGCCATTTTTACTACATTGATCCTACCTATCCAAGAGCATGGGAGATCTTTCCATTTTCTGATGTCTTCTTTAATTTCTTTCTTTAAAGACTCAAAATTCTTTTCACTTGTTTGGTTAGCATTACCCCAAGGTATTTTATGTAGTTTGTGGCAATTGTAAAGGGTGATATTTCTCTGATTTCTTTCTCAGCCCTTTTATCGTCTGTATACAGTAGGACTACTGATTTTATTGAGTTGATCTTGTATCCTGCCACTTTGCTGAAAGTATTTATCAGCTTTAGGAGTTCCCTGGTCAAGTTTTTTTGGAATCACTTATGTAAACTATCATATCATCTGCAAATAGGGAAAGGTGGACTTCTTGCTTTCCTATTTGTATCCCCTTGATTTCCTTTTGTTTTCATATTGCTGTAGCTAGAACTTCAAGTACAATATAGAAAAGGTATGGAGAGAGTGCACAGTCTTGTCTTGTTCCTGGTTTTATCACAATCGCCTTACATTTCTGTCCATGTAGTTTGATGTTGGCTGTTGGTTTGCTGTATATAGCTTTCATTATGTTTAGGCATGTTCCTGTTATCCCAGATCTCTCCAAGACTTTTGTCATGAAGGGGTGTTGGATTTTGTCAAAGGCTTTTTCAGCTTCTAGTGAGATGATCATGTGATTTTTGTTTCTCAGCTTCTTTATATTGTGGATTACATTGATGGATTTTCCTATGTTGAACCATCCCTTCATCCTTGGGATGAAACCTACTTGATCATGTTCTTGGATCTGATTTGCCAGTATTTTATTGAACATTTTTGCATCAATGTTCATGAGGGATATTAGACTGAAGTTCTCTTTCTTAGTTGTATCTTTGTGTGTCTTGGGTATCAAGGTTATTGAAGCCTAGTAGAAAGAGTTTGGCATAAACCCTTCTGGTTCTATTGAGTGGAATACTTTGAGAAGAATTGGTATAAGCTGTTCTTTGAATTTCTGGTAGAATTCTGCACTGAGGTCATCTGGACCTGGGCTTTTTTTGCTTGGGAAACTTTTGATGTCTGCTTCTATTTTCATAGTGGTTATAGGTCTATTGAAATTGCTTATACGTTCTTGATTTTATTTTGGCAAGAGAAACCTATCTAGAAAATTGTTCATTTCCTTTAAATTTTCAAATTTTGTGGAGTACAGAATTTGTATGTTCACACCTGTTGTTTGGTAAGTTTGAACAAAAGTTTGTCTATCTTTTTGATTTTCTCAGAGAACCAACTCCTTGTTGCATTGATTCTTTGTATTGTTTTTCTAGTTTCTACTTTATTGATTTCAGCCCTCAGTTTGATTATTTCCTGGCATCTACTCTTCCTGGGTAAGCTTGATTCTTTGTGTTCTAGTGTTTTCAGCTGTGCTGCTAATTCTCTAGTGTGGCTATTCTCCGGTTTCTTCATGTAGGCACTTAGTGCTGTGAACTTCTCTCGTAGCACTGCTTTCAAAGTGTCCCATAGTTTTGTATATGTTGTGTCTTCATTTTCATGGAATTCTAGGAAGTCTTTAATTTCTTTTTTTTATTTCTTCTTTGACCCAGGAATGGTGCAGTTGTACATTATTCTATTTCCATGAGTTTGTAGGGTTTCTGCAATTTATGTTGTTGTTGAATTCTAATTTTAGCGCATGGTGGTCAGATAAGATGCATGGAGTTATTCCAATTATTTTTGTACCTGTTGAGGCTTGATATGTTGCCAAGTATCTAGTCAGTTTTTGAGAAGGTTCCATGTGGTGCTGAGAAGAAGGTATATTCTTTTTTATTTGGATGGAATGTTTTATATATGTCTGTTAATCCCAATTGGGTAATAACTTCTATTAGCCCCTTTGCTCTTTGTGAAGTTTCTGTCTGGTATTCCTGTCTGGTGTTGAGAGTGGGGTGTTGCAGTCTCCCACTATAAGTGTGTAGGGTTTTATATGTGATTTGAGTTTGTAATGTTTCTTTTACGGATGTGGATGTGTTTGTATTTGGGGCATAGATGTTCAGAATTGAAACTTCATCTTGTTCGATTTCTCCTGTGATGAGGATGTAATGACCTCCTTCATCTCTTTTGATTGATTTTAGTTTAAAGTCTAATTTTTAGATATTAGAATTGCTACACCTGCTTATTTCTTGGGTCCATTTGATTCGAAAAGCTTTTCCAACATTTAACTCTGAGGTAATGCCTGTCTTTGAGGCTGAGGTGTATTTCTTTTATGCAGCAGGTGGGTTCTGTCCTCAGAACCATTCTGTTAGCTTGTGTTGTTTTATGGGTGAGTTAAGACCATTAATATTGAAGAATATTAATGAGCATTGATTGCTCATTCTTCTTTCATTTGGAATGGTTGGTGGTGGTGGAATTATGTATGGAATTCCACCCCGTTTTTCTTTTGGCTATTGGTAAGATTGGATTACATAATGCCTATGTTTTTCTTGTTGTAGTTAACTTCCTTGGGTTGGAGTTTTCCTTTCAGAATTTTTTTGTAGGGCTGGGTTAGTGGATATGTATTGCTTGAATCTAGTTTTGTTATGGAATATTTTGTTTTCTCCATCTATAGTGATTGAAAGCTTTGCTGGGTATAGTAGTCTGGGCTGTCCATGATCTCTTAGTGTTGGTAGAATATCCATCCAGGACCTTCTGGCTTTCAGAGTTTCCATGGTGAAGTCAGGTGTAATTCTTATAGTTTTGCCTTTATATGTAAAAAATATGGAAAACTTCATGAATTTTTGTGTCATCCTTGAGAAGGGGCCATGTTAATCTTCTCTGTATCGTTCCAATTTCAGTATATATGCTGTCGAATCCAGCATTTTTATATTGTTTTTTTAAGTGTAAATTAGGAAAAGAGAAATTATCTCTCATTATATGTGAGGAATTGCAGAATCCATGACCATAAGTTTCCATGAAAATTATGAGATTATTAGCTTAACCTGCTGGTTCTTAAGGCTATGCCAAATATATGATAGATTTATCTTACACTTTTCTCTGCAAATGTTAATTTATTTTATGTTTACAAACTAATAATCTTCATATGCTGCAATGGACACAAGAGTAACAATCTGTCTCTGATATCATTATTGCAGGTTTGTTTGTTTTTTTTTAGATAAATCCCCCCCATAAAGGATTACTGGATTAAACTTTAGTTCTACTTTATTTCTCTATTTTTTGTTTTTTTTCTCAAATTTTCATGTCATCCACATTAAAATCCATAAAATTTTCCAATATAACACCATCAGAATTTAAAAAAATCTTTCAAAATGTTATGCATAAAAGCACTGTCAATCAAGAAGTGGCATAATGAAATGAAATGATAGTTCTCAAAAGAAGAAATGCAAATGGAAAATACATATTTTAAAACATGTTCACCATCTCAGGTTATCAGAAAAATGCAAATTAATTCTCTTTGAGAATCTTCCTTACTCAAGTCAGAGTGTGTTTTCACCAGGAAATCTGACAAGGGACTGGCAAGACAGCTCAATGGTTAAGAAAAATATGCATCACAGGCAACCTAGGACCACTGAGATGGGAAAACTAATTTTTTCAGGGAAGAGCACACCAATTTGCTACCTAATATTAAGTTGTCAGTGCTGAAAACATTGCATGTACTGAGCAGGTTTCATTTATATATTTATTAACTTGTGCACAATATGTCTTCTTACTTTACTTACACTTACATGTATACAACAACAATTAGTGTAGACAGAGGGTACGAACTTGAAAGAGAATTTGGGGGAATAAATGAGAGGGTTTGGGGGATGAAAGGGAATGTGGAAATGATGTCATGATAATCTCAAAATATAAAAGAAATAGTTAAAATGAAAGAGAGAGAGAGAGAGAGAGAGAGAACTACCATTTCTTACAGAAATCTCAGGTTTAGTTCTTAGAACATGTGACAGCTCACAAATATTAGTCATTCTAGTTGTGTGGATATCCAAATTCCTCTTCTTGCCTTGTAGGTCACCATGTACAGGGCACACACATGGTGCAAATACATATGTACAAAAATGCAATCATAAGCATGAAAAGCAAACCCTTTATATTTTTGAGACAGTGGCTCAGCATGTAACCTTAGTTGTCCTGAAATTTTCTAGGTAGACCAGGTTAGTCTTAAAGTAATATAGAAAAACCTGCTTTTGTCTGCTTGTGCTAAGACTAAAGACCTGCATGACCATACTCAATTTAGATTCTTTTTAAAAGTAGAAATCTAGCAACAGCTGTTTGAGAATATGTAGAGGAAAAGAAGTCCTTATTCCCTACTGATGGGAGTGCAAACTAGAAATCAAATAGAGATTTCTCAAAAACTTAAAAATAATGCCATATGGATTAGCTATACATTCCAGAACATACACCCAATGGACTCTGCATCTTAAAATAGAGATACTTTGTCATACATATTTAGTGCTTTTCTCTTCACTATGTCATCAACAAATATATGCATAATGAACATGTGGAATATATACCCAGTAGATCACAGTAGCAGAAGGAAGGAGATTCTACCAAAATTTGTTCAAAATGCTTTGATGGTACTCATTCAATACTTGTAGAACATTAATTAAAAATACAGACAGATAATACTCTATTTTCTTAATTAAGCATATCATACATATCTGTAAGGATGCTCTCTCAGCCTGGACTCTAGGGGAATGCCTGGACCCTACCCGGAGTGAAATGACAGACTCTAGATATCCCCTATGTGGAAGGATTTGGCAACAGGGTGGGAGGCTGGGGGGGGAAGGGGAGTGCGGGAGGAGGGGAGGGAGAGGGAACTGGGATTGACATGTAAAACAAGCTATTTAAAATTAAAATAAAAAATGATGTAATGTAATAAAAAATAATATCCAATATCTTCCACATGAATTGTTCAGTGCAGCTTTCAATTTGTCTGTATCATTGTGTAGCCATTTAGTTATAATTGACTGACTCACCTTAGACTCCAGAACACTCTGTTTAATTTTATACATGTGGCCTAGCGGTGGGAAATGAAGATTCTTCATGTGGATCAGGGCTTTGCAAATAACATACCATCTTGTTACCCTAATCTAAGACAAATGTTGCATTCATAGCAAGGTGAGAAGGAAAAGGAGGTGGGCTAGTGTATCTGGGAGAAGATAGAACAGATTTCTGTAAACAAAGGGTTTTCTAATTATTAAAAAGAGTGATAATCCACCCATTAAGTCATCATTAACATGTCCAATAAAAAGTCTTAGAGCACACCAATTTAACTGCATACACAGAGGGAACAACTCTTGATCTATCAGAGAATGATGGGTTTTCTTCAAAATTCCAGTACTACATGTGTAACACTCTCAAAATTTCAGGAAAGGTATTGACTTAAAATATTTTTAATTATCCTTAAAGACATGTCTTAGCAATTTTAACTACGGTGTCTTTCTTCTCAGGTATTAGAAAATAGTCTTAAATTGAAAATGTCTGTACCAATTTTGTTATTGGTATATAGCTATAACATCCTATACCTGTAAATTTTAACATAGATAGATTTGCATATAATATATTTTAATAAAATAGAATTGTATTCAGAAGCCTGTGAGTAGATGAACATAATATTTGAAGTGTCTAGTACTTTATTACATTGAGTTTTTCTTCCTGATCTTTGCTTTTGTTTTTCATTTTTTTGAGGCTAAAATTTGAATGAATTAATGCAGTGCTATATATACACTCAAGCAACAATGGTAAATTACCAGGTGGGATATACTATTGAAACCACATTTATTGGATAAATAGTAATAGGAGCCACAGAAAGTGCCATATGAGTTCTGGGTGACAAGATATGATGTCAGAATCTCAGGTATTTGGTATGTTTGATTAAAGCGGGTTTACTGTCTCTGATAGCTTCAAAGCCTGTATCCTCCCTTGAGCTTGTTATTAATGAGTCATTTGATATCTTGACACCAAGTACTGCACTGCCACTCTAAATTTTCACAAAACTATTGGCTCAATGGAATTCATATCTTGACTGATCCCATTCTTGGGCTACCTGTCTGTGTTCTAAGGGGCAGCATTTAGCAGAGCAACTTCCAGGCAGGATTTTCTTTTTCTTCTGTCTATAAAAGTGAAATGTCCTATAATTTGCTAGTCCTTCCAAGGTCAAGATAGTCATACTTCTACCTGGAGAAAGTGTTCCTAACAATAGTGTTTACAGTACAAGTGTACTTTCAAGTTCTAATGATCCCTAAGTTAACCTGGGGGAACCATAAGCACTGTCTCTGTTGACAAATGATGACCATATCATAATCTTGCATAAATATACTCCAGCAGTTACAAGAAATAGTTTTAAATCAGGTAATCTTAATCTACTCTTGATTCATTTCAAGATGACTTGACTGATTTTCTGTCAAAAATTTTAATAGAGTATAAAAAATGGAAGACCATAAATCATAATTGTTTCTATTTCTTCTCTGTATTCAGATTGTCTAAAAAAATCAAGAAACCAATTCCTTAACTGAACTTTGAAATAACATCTCCTTAAAATACAGGGAACATTTGAGAAAAATGTAAACTTTTAAAACAAATTTCTCCAGTTGTTGAAACTCTACTAGATTGTGATGCTACATTCACAATGTTGTGAAATATATAAACATCAAAAAATCACTTTATTAATTCCACTTTTTACAAGAAATGCATCAGAGATAAATAATGATTTAAGATTCTTCCTCTCCCAGCAGCCACTGAACTACCTTTAACTTTTTATTTAGGGTTGGGACCTTTTGTAATTTGTCCCATTTATATTGACACATCAGGTAGTATTTTCATTATGCACCTCTTATATTTAGAAGACATGATATTGCAACAAATACCTTGGTGCTTTGGCTTTTGCAATTTTTCTGACTCATCTAACTTGTTGTTTTAACAACCTCAGGTATAGCATTGTGTTGTAGATGTATTGATTATGGGTGGATAGCCTAGAGTCACTTATTTTCTGTACCTTTACCACCACTTGTGAATTTCTATAGTAGCTTCTGCCTGCTACAGAGAGAAGATTCTTTGATGAGGGGTAAGATATATACTTATCTGTGGGTATAAAGGTAACTATGAATATGATGCCAAGGTGTGTTTATCCCAGCACTCAAGTGGCCAAGCCAGGTGGATCTATGAATTTGAGGAGAGCCTTATCTACATAGAGAGCTTCAGGCCTATTAAAAATATAGTGACATCCAGTCTCAAACAACAACTTGACATGAATGCAATTAGCAGCAATAATGGTTCAGAAAAATGTAAGTAGTAGATTCTGTGATCAGAACTATGACCACCCTGCTCTCTAAGTTGTAGTACCAGATGTGGATATACTCCTATTGAGTGGAGTGTGTCCACTTAGCAGCTGAAGATTTATTGCTGGTCCAACAAGAATAAGAGTTCTCCTGGGAAAATCCTCTGATAAAATATCCAATCACAAGAAATCATCTCTAAGCACATTTACATCCTAGCAACACTAAATGAAGTCATTGTTCTATATACATATGCATGTTTGTAAGCACAGTTAGTGATTACAGAAAAAGTCATAAATTTTAAAGGATGTGAGAGGCAAACTAGAAGGTAGGAGGTGTAGAGAAAATGTTGTAAATATTGTATTCATGAATAAAGTTAAATTAAATAAGTTCCTAGAGTTATTTTTGTTTTTTAAATTCTATGTTAAAATATAATGAAAGAAAAAATAAAAATAAAGCAAAACACCTACCACATAGACTAGAATTGTGAGCTGGTAGTGATAATGTGACTAGATTATTTATCGACCCAGTGATCAACTGATCAGCTCCTATCTGCATAGGTGGGGCTAGGTTAGTAAAAGCAGACC